TAGGGGGAGGGGTTTTGTTTTTCAGGTGGAAAAGAGGAAGAGGAAAGTGCGTATGATAATATTGCGGTACACGTTAGTGGCCTATGTTATCATTCGATCAATTACAAAATTTTGCCACTTTAATAATTGTTCAATAATTACAAAAAGGAAATATAATTGTCCAATAATTAAGCGTGATTACTTTTCCATATAAGAGTTATGCCTTTATTTTCAAGGAGTTTTTATTTGCAACTCTAAAATATACGTAACATTTATAATCCTCTCCATGTACTCCTTAATTCTTGTAAAAAGGATTCTCGGAATTTATGGCTTAAAATTCCAATCTATGTAATAAAAGAATTCATGAATGTGCTTGGTGTTTAAATACGTAATATATTGAGATCCACTTTTTTTAATAAGTAAAGCTTTCATTTCTTAAAATTAAAATAATATTCATATAATCTAAAACAGTCTGATGAGAAAGATGTTATTCTTTTCTACAAAAAACAATTACGCTAATTTTTTTTAATCTATGTTCATTGAAATGAATAAATAACATTCACCTTTCAACTAAATCTTTTGAACTGGAATTGAATAAGTTAATTTGTTTATTTATTTTCATTAAAATGTATAAGAAACAAAGTATTAAGTAAATCACATGTGTCATTTAAATAAGATTTATATGTTAAATGTAATTAATTATATCAGATCGAATTGTCTTTTCCATTGCTATCGTTTGATGTTATTATTATTGATGGATTTGAGTCCATTCCTTCCGGCATTTAAAGTTGGAGACATGAACCCCAAATCATTACTTTTTATTATTATTATTGTTATTATAAGATAAAAGAAAATTAATTTTCCAACCCTAATCATTAAGCGCCTTTCTCTTTCCATAATATTGCTTTGCCGAATTCCTTGTACATTTGGCCAATAGGAAAAGAAGTTGGTAAAAAGAGGAATTGCAAGATTCTAAAGTTCACTCGCAAGTCACAAGTAAGGAATACGTTGGGCCACTTGGAAGGGTGGATTAAGGGAATAATTAATAAGTTTGGTCCTCGAAATCAACCTCCACTTCCAACCAAGAGGTTGTGAGTTCGAGTCTCCCCAAGAGCAAGGTGATAAGTTCTTGGAGGAGGGAAGAATGACGGGGGTCTATTTGGAAACAGTCTCTCTACCTCAGGGTAGGGGTAAGGTCTGCGTACACACTACCCTCCCCAGACCTCACTAAGTGGGATTATACTGTGTTGTTATTGTTGTTGGTCCTGGAAATCAAGATTTTATTAGAATAACGAATTAAATTGTACGAGAAATAGACTTTAGTTAGATTCCATATTATGGGAGGTGTAATTTGGGTAAAGGACCGAATTTATGGACCTCATGTAGATTCACTTCCTCCATTGACTTTAGCATTTACTGCTTTCACACAGCTACCTATATTCACGCTCTATATATTCTTTTTCTTTTTGGTTTAGGG